CCCCCATGTACCGCGGGGGGTGAATCCGTGGTGCCCCCGGGGCCGGCGCTCACAGTGCACCACACGCCCGGGGCCGGCTCTGTCACCGCGTATGCGCCACGTGCCCGGGGCCAGGCCAGCCCTGAGCACTTGGCGGGCGCCGAGAAATGCCCCCGCGGGCGCCATGGCGCCCGCGGGCACCGTGTTGGGGACCACGGTCTTAGATGGAGTCGGGGACAATGACCGGTATCACGCCAATAGCGCTAGAGGAGCACTCTGCACTGAAGCGCTGGTGCTCGGTGCTGAGTCTGAGTGCTGGTCCTAGGCAGAGAGAGCGAACTCCATAAGTAGGGCTTTTAAGCATATACCACTGTCCTTTGTTGACCTGGGGTGAAAAGACTTGCAAATGTGACACTTGTCTGATGAGGGTTTCTCCCAGACAACAGAGGCCGTGAGCATGTGGGTCACTGACTGGCATAGGACTGTGGCATGTGACACAGCTTTAAAGCCAGAGGAGTGGGGCATGCCCCATCCCCAGGCTAAGTCTCTAGAGGGATTAACAAATTGTTAATTTAACCATTTACATATATAAACTAGAGGGAAATAATTTACAACTGAATGAAGAGATTAACTAAAGCTACAGCTTTAGTTGGAGCACACTGTTTCAAGCACTATCACTCGTGGCAAGAAGGCACTGAGGAGGGAGGGAGCTTAGGGGATGCTCTATATAGCATGGAATGTAGAGGGCATTGGATCTAGTCCCCTATGGATCCTTCTGAGGTGCATGCGCACCTATGTTGAATAGACGAGCAAGCACTTGAAGAAGTTACTGTTTTTTCTTCTCTGAGTGATTGCACATGTGAATTCCAGTCTCTGTGACTCATAAGTCATAAAGTAGGAGGAAGGGTCATGTACATACAGACTGGAGTAGAACTTATCCAAACTTAGCATCGTTTCTAGAATAATGAGTGATGGAATAATGTGATGAGAAGGTGTGCCACCAGATTGCTGCTTTACACATTTCCTTGATAGGGAAAGGAGGAAGTAATACCATGGGCTGTGTCCAGACTCAGGGGGTTTTTCGAAAAAAGTAGCCTTTTTTCGAAAAAACTTCCCCTGCGTCCAGACTCAAGCCGCGTTCTTTCGAAATTAATTCGAAAGAACGCGGCTTTTCTTTCGATGGCGGTAAACCTCAATTTACGAGGAAGAACGCCTTCTTTCGAAAGTTCCTCTTTCGAAAGAAGGCGTTCTTCAATGTAAATAGGGCTTCTTCAAAAGAGAGCATCCAGATTCACTGGATGCTTTCTTTCGAAAAAGCAAGCCGCTTTTTCGAAATTTCTCCGTGCAGTCTAGATGCTCTCTTTTGAAAGAGGCTTGCAGTCTAGACATAGCCATGGAGGCTGTTTGCTATCTAAGACTAGGTCCAGACTACATCCCTCTTTCAAAAGAGGGATGTAATTAGACATATCAAAATTGCAAATGAAGCCGGGATTTGAATTTTCCATGCTTCATTTGCATAATCTCATCATGGCGTTCTTTCAAAAAACAAAAAATGAAGACTACAGGATCTTTCGAAAAAGGCTTTTCTTTTTGAAAGAATCGCATCTAGATTACGGTTTCACTTTTGAAATAGTGTTTTTTGAAAGAACGCCATGATGAGATTATGCAAATGAAGCATGGAAAATTCAAATCCCGGCTTCATTTGCAATTTTGATGTGTCTAATTTACATCCCTCTTTTGAAAGAGTCTGATGTATTGAAAGAGTCTAATGAAATGTGCTGTCATTTTCTTGCCAGATCATAATATAACTTACCAATACGGAGGAGCAGGATCTGCACACCAAAGATGTTAGGAGACCTTTGGCATTCTACATAGTTTCATTTATTAACTCAATCATTCATGATCATTGTGAGCAGGCCAACGGATCACCTGGTCTCGACACAAAAAAATTAGTTTGGATAACTTTCTGTATTCATATAGGCTGTGTCTAGACTACATGCCTCTGTCGGCAGAGGCATGTAGATTAGATAGATCAGCAAAGGCAAATGAAGCTGCGATTTAAATGATCGTGGCTTCATTTACATTTACATGGCTGCCGCGCTGAGCCGACAAACAGCTGATCAGCTGTTTGTCGGCTCAGCGCGGCAGCCATGTAAATGTAAATGAAGCCACGATCATTTAAATCGCAGCTTCATTTGCCTTTGCTGATCTATCTAATCTACATGCCTCTGCCGACAGAGGCATGTAGTCTAGACACAGCCTATATGAATACAGAAAGTTATCCAAACTAATTTTTTTGTGTCGAGACCAGGTGATCCGTTGGCCTGCTCACAATGATCATGAATGATTGAGTTAATAAATGAAACTATGTAGAATGCCAAAGGTCTCCTAACATCTTTGGTGTGCAGATCCTGCTCCTCCGTATTGGTAAGTAGTTCTGGGTAAAAAGTAGATAAGTTGATTGGTTAATATTAAAATTAGACTCCACTTTGGAGAGAAATCTTGGATGATGGGGTAAGTATACTTTATTCTTAAAGAAGATTGTAAAAGATGGTTTGGATGTCAGAGCACACAGTGTGGCCATCCTTCTGGCTGAAGTAATAGCAAGTAGGAGAGCCACCTTCAGAGTTAAGTTCAGTGAGGAATATGTTGCTAGAGTCTCAAAGGGAGAGCTATCCCGGCACATGCCACTGATGGAAAAAATTCTGACCATGCAAGGGACAAGCGTGTAGCAATAGTGGAATGTACATGTGCAATCACTGAAAGAACTTCTGGGAAGATTTGCAGCTAAACCTTTATAGTGGTCAAGTGGCTAGCAGGAAGCAGACCTGGTGGGATATTCATTTCTCTTTCTTAAAGAGGAGATTTAGATGCACTTGGAAGTAAAATATGGACTCCACAATTATTGCTAAAAGGCTTGTGTACTAAAACTGACAGGCTCTAATGATGGCTATGACCATGAGGTGAACCCTTGTCTGTATGGTATTACCCATTCTTCCATCATAATAGACAACTATTGGTAGACTGATGAAAAGCTACAAACTTTACTCACATTCAAAGCAGCTTCTGCTTCTTCTAATGCTGGTTTAGCTGCTTCCAGTTTGGTCTCTGCCACCACTTTTTCTGAATCTATTTCATCTACAATCTTTTGTGCTTTGTCTTTCACACCTTGAACTTCATTTTTTACTTTTGCTGATGCCTCAGCACTTACTGTAACTTCTGCCAGCACCTACATTAGCAAT